ATTTTATTTTATTTTATTTTATTTTATATTACCTGAGGGACAGGCCAGTTTCTGGTTATTCCTGAGGAAAATGGAAATTTCTGTTTTTACTGAAAAAGTGATTTTTTAATATATTTTTTTTAGATTTCCTGAAGAAAAAGGCAATTCCTGGTGTTCCAGGGTGTGAATCCAGTTTCTCCTTTTCCTGAGTGAAAAGGAAATGTCTGGTTTTCTGGCAGAGAAAGTGAATTTCTAGTTTTCCTAAGGGATAAGGGAATTGTTTTCCCTAGAAAACAGACCAGTTTCTGGTTTTCCTGAGGGAAAAGGATATTCCCTTTTCCAGAGGGAACATCTGGTTCCTGCATTTCTCAAGGGAAAAGGAAATTTGTGGGTTTCCAGAGGGAACATCTGGAAAAGGAAAATTCTGATTTTCTGGACAGGGGAAGAGAATTTCTGTTTTTTTCCTGGAGGGAAAAGTTGAATTTGGTTTTCCTAAGGGAAGGAAAATGTTTTGTTTTCTGGAGGGAAAGACCAATTCCTCATTTTCCCAAGGGAAAAAAAAAACAATTCCTCCTTTTCCTGAGGGAATTCCCAGGAATTTCTGGATTTCCTAAGAGAAAAGGTCAAACCTATTGATCCCAACCCAGGGAACAACCGTTATCTTCGCACCATTTAAAACCATAATCCTGATTTTTATGTCTTTCTCGCCAATCTTTAGCCATGGCAGAGGGGGAGAGGCCGAGGAAGCTCCTCCGCCTGGTGCAGGAGGGACGCCTGGAACTCCTCCGGGATGAGCTGAGACCGGGTGATGTCTCTGGACCTCTGGACCTGGAGGTGCAGAGCCGGCGCTACGGGCGCTCCGAGGACACGCTGCTGCACCATGCTGCCCGCTACGGGCACCTGCACATCCTCACCTACCTGGTACAGGTGTTGGGGATGGATGTTGAGGTGTTTAATAGTGATTACAAAAGACCCCTCCATGAAGCAGCCTCCATGGGCCATGAGGAGTGTGTCTCCTACCTCCTGGAGAGAGGAGCCAGCGTAGACTGCTTGAAAAAAGCAGACTGGTAGGTGACGGGTTTGTTTTGATGTTGGGATGTTACTGGAAAGGAGTTTGGATGTAGGGATGTGACTGCAGGAGATGTAATTTATAGAACAAGGGGAAATGGGTTTAAACTGGA